CCTCAACAGTCTGCAGAATCCCCTCACTGATTACACTGTAAATGATAATCTACCTTAACCAAAATCAAAGTAGACTATCACTCACCCACACCTATATATATATAATATATCAACTCCGTATACTGGAAACCTACTTAACGAGGTGATAAGAGCATCCCCGTTAAGTAGGCTCCAACGTCAAAGGCTCCATCTATTGGTGGGGAGCTACACCTGCTGAAAATCGGGTCCAGCGTCCCTGTACAATGATATGAATGTGTCAGCTGGAAATCGGGTCCAGCGTCCCTATACAGAGATGTGTTAATATCTTCTACTGCCTATGTATGTTCGTGAAGCAATATATGTCAGATGATGGTAATACCCTATCCATCAGATCTACAAATTCTCAAAAAAACGAACTAAGACATCGTCCCCATCCTAACTAACAGACCAGGAGAAGAGACCCTAGCTTTGATATGATGTGATATGATATGAGACCCTAGCTCTGATATGATGTGATATGATATGATGTGATGTGTCGTCTGGAAAACGGGACCAGCGCCCCTATACAGAGACGCGTTGATATCTCCTACATCCTATGCATGTTCGTTAATCAATATATGTCAGATCCATCAGATCCACAGATTCTTCAAAATGAACACAGGCCTCAGTCCACACCTATCTATCAGGCTAGGAAACGAAACCCTAGCTTTGATATGATGCGTGTAAGCTAGGGATCAGACCAATCGGATCCAGCGTCTGTAATCAAGGATGTACTGTATGTCGGCTGGGAATCGGGCCCAGCGTCCCTAAACAGTGGTGTGTGGATATGCAAAACACCAAACTAAGATGTATGTGGTGTAAAACAATGAATCAGACCTCGAACCCTACCCGTGCTGTTATATGTATGCTCAGAATCAATCAACCACAAACATGAACCCTATCAACATCCCTTATGCAATCGAATGTGAAATCAACCTACTGGGCATTATCTGAAAAGAGCAGGGGCATTGATTACTTCCCCACAGGAGGGAAGGATTGACCTCCTGCAAGAGCATTGAAATCTTGGCGAGAGGGATCTTCATCCAGCTGATCTGTGTAGGTAGCGCCAACCAACAGCGACTATCCTACTTGACCCCTCTGCAAACAACAAAGATATCTGGCGCGAGGCATCTATATCAAACTGATCTCTATAGGCATCTCCAACCATCATCGTCTATCCTACTCCTCCCCTCTGCCGAACAAAAACGTTCATCTCCATCTCAAGGTTGAGGGGGGAGAGGATAGTAGACCTATTTTTGCAGCCGATCACCGCACTGATCATCGCACAGATAGCGAACATGGATGCACAAGCACCGCTCCCTACCCGCTGCTGCCGCCGTGATTGCCTCCGCCGTCTTCTTTGCCGTTGTGGTTGCTGTAGCTGTTGTTGTTGTTGTTGTTGTTGTTGTTGTTGTTGTTGTTGTCGTTGATGTTGTTGTCACCGTCATTGGTCTCTCCAGCCGTGCTGATGGCAACCATGGATGCACAAACAGCACTCCCTGCCCTGCTTCTGCCATGGTCACCACCCCCATCTTCACTACTGGCCCCGCTGCTGCCACGATCGCCACCGCCGTCTTCATCGTCGTTGATGTTGCTGTTGTTATTGTAGTCGTTGTTGTAAATGTTGTTGTTGTTGTTGTTGATGATGTAGTTGTCGCCATCGTAGTTCTGTCCTGCCATGCAGATGGCGATCATGGATACGCAAACATCACTTGCTACCCAGCTTCTGCCATGGTCGGCGCCCCCATCTTCGTCGTCGTTGTTGTTGTTGTTGTTGCTGTTGTTGCTTTTGTTGTTGTTGTTGTTGTTGTTGTTGTTGTTGTTGTTGTTGTTGTTGTTGTTGTTGTTGTCGTTGTTGTTGTTGTTGTTGTTGTTGTTGCTGTCCACCTTCCTACCCTTCTTGCCCATCTCGCCTGTTCCCTGCATCTCCTCCACCACAACCACTGCCTCTGTCCCAAACCCCTGCTCCACCTCCCGCACCTCCCACTCCTCCGCCTGGTCTCCACCACCCTGCAGCAGATGAGTGACACCGTTGTTATTGATGTCATCGTCCTCCACACCTGTCTCGCCGATTTCGCCCATTCGCTGCTCACCGTTGTTGCTGATGTTGTTCTTGTTGTTGTCGTTGTTGTTGTTGTTGTTGTTGTTGTTGTTGTTGTTGTTGTTGTTGTTGCTGTTGTTGTCGTCAACCTTCCCACCCTTCACGCCAATCTCAACCATGCCCTGCCTCTCCCCCCCCACCACCACCTCCTCTGCCAGCGTTTTTATTCGGGGCAATTCACATCTTAGCCCGGTAGCTGGGCCGGGGAATGATTTGTGTCTGTCCGCAGTGGCGACTGGTCATTAACCAGCTTCCCCTGTCTTCATCCCTCATCGGCGGCATTGCTCCATCTGGTGATCTTCTGCTGTCTTCCATTGCCTCCTTTTTTTTTTTCCTGACCACAGGTGCTTTATTTGCCATATTCCGTGTTCCGGCCACTTCCCCCCTTTAGAGTCTTGCCCCCCATTAGTGTCCTTGGTTTTCCCTTCTTGTCCTTCAGCCACTGATTGCAGAAGAGGGGCTGTCTCAGCACCTCCTCACTGGTTCTGGGTTCATGAACTTTGGCTGGAAAGATTCTTCCCATAACTTAAGCAAATGCCTCCAATAATCGCCTTTCCCCCCTTCCTCATGCTCCTCTTGTTCATTGGGTCCTTTCCCTCCTTTCTTCTCCTGCCGTATCAGAAGCACATTACTAGGGGGGGTGATATAAACAGCCTCCCCTAGTAAGAGTTCTGGTTGCTCCAGTCTATTAGTGGGGAGCCACACCTGCTGGAAAGTGGGTCCAGCGTTCTAATTGTCTGCACTGGAAACATCGGCGGTCTTGGATGCAAGTGTGATCATTCACTGCCACCATTGACTACCCCAGGAGAACTGGGGGGTTAACTGTGCAGTTAATGAGCATGTCTGACTCTGCTTTGCTCGCTAACCCGCTCTCAAAATCCTTTTTTTAAGAATGACATCATCCATCAAATGAGCGCCAGAATCTCCACTGAGGACCTAGTAGATCGCATCCTGTAACCGACAAAAGCGCAGTACTCAATGACCCAAGGTGGTCATCAACTGTGAGAAAGCATACCAGTTCTGGTGAACCAAACTTAAGGGAGGTGGTAAGGCTTTGGAAGCAGACAGGAAGTTAGTGTATGGGGTGAGGCCTTTTTTTTTTTTTTGTTTTTGTTTTTTGTTTTTTTTTTGACTTCTGTTTCAGTTTATGGAAGAAAAGTGGGCTGCTGGTAATATGCTAGTGCAGATTTTTTCAGATTCGGCGCCCTCTATGGGGTGAAGAGGCAATTCTCGGCAGCTCACACATCTGTACAGGCACCACAGACATCCACGGTATTTGATCTCATCATGTACATGCATTCATGTATTCAAGGGACGCTGGACCCGTTTTCCACCAGGTGATGCTCCGCACAAATAGATGGAGCTGTTTGTGTATGGGGTGAGGCTTATGGACGATGTGTCCATTTTCTTAGCCTACAATCGAGGGGATGGTAAGTCCATCGCTACTGCCAAAAAGATCAGGAGAAAGTTTGAAGGTTGCTATCCTAACTCACTCACCTTGAAAAGGACGGATGACAGTTCCGCTTCCTGGGATTTTCTCGGGTGTGCACTGGAGGTGAAGTCGAGCTTTCCTTTTTTGGGATGTTTCCAAAAGACCAAGAATCAGGATACAATTTGGTCTTCCAGCGAGCTAATTTTCAAGACAGGTCAGGACTTCAATTCATGGTCCTGCAGAAGGCAGAAACTGGCGTCTATTACGGGCTGGTTATACCGTATCGACCGGAACACGACGGTCCGAGCAACTATTCCCCAGCAGGTTCTTACCCTGAGGAAGGAGTACAGGGCGAAGAGTTTTTCGGATAGTTTCTTTGCGAAGGCTCTCAAGAACTTCGCGCGGAACTGTGACTCAATTTGGCAATTGACCACCAGCCTTCTTTGTGGTGACTCGGAATAGTTCTACTATATATAGGTAAGTCAGACTACGGTCTAGTCCTCTCTTGACATTGCGCCAGGCCTGTGCCTGGTTTCGGGAAGTGATGAGTAGGTGCAGTAAAGGGAGAAGAAGAGGTGGAGAGTTGAGGTTTTTCTCGAGTTGTCGTTTTTCGCGACCTCTTGGATTTGCTCTCTCTAATAAAGCTTTTGGCGCAGTTACTTGGACTTTGATCTTTTGATCGTGTGTTGTGAATTTTTCAACCGTTAAGGGAGGTGGACCGGTGGTGGAAAAAGGTCTGGGAACTCAGACAGGGGGGGCGCAGCGGGACTAGAGGGTTCAGATTCGTCCAGTCATGGAAAACCAGGTGACAGTCCCTCCGGAGTTCCCCGTTACCATCTCCCTGTTTCCCGCCCCATTTTATTATCCCCAGCTTGCCCCCTTTCTTCCCTCCCAGCCAGCTGCAACTGAATTGTTGAATGCGTTGCAATATTCTTATTATTTCTGATTTTAACGAGAGAAATTTGATACGATCTTTTACCCGATTCCATTAAGTAGGGATATCAGTTTGTAACTTTGTACTTGCTAGTTGATTGATTCAGTAAATTCAGGCCCATCAAGCCTCACTCCTTGCAATTCATAGGTACATCTCCGTCTCCACAAGGACCACTGCACAGTAATGCTCTCCTGCCCACCTTGAAAAGATTCTGAGTAAATATGTCAGGCTGGGCCCGGTTCCCAGCATGTGCTGCGCCCATTAATAGATTGGAGCTTTTGTCCCCCCCCCCCCCCCAAAAAAAAAAAAAAAAAGGCTGGTCTGGATGCCAGGTTTCACACAGTAATGCCCTCCAATCCCAGGGCCAGGGGTGAGAGGTCTCCAGATGATTCCAGATCCGGTCCCACCATCTCAACTATCGTTTTTTGCTGACATCTTTTCTTCCAGATTACCCATATAACTGCTTTCCTCCTTGTTATGAAGATGTTTCTTTCTTCTGTTGTCCACGCTTCTGGCATGCTGAGGCCTGTAAGTAGAGTAACTTCGTCCTCTGGCCATCTACTGTTTGATGTTCTTTTCCATATCTCTTCTGTTTTGAGAACTTTTGACCCATAACGTTATTGTGTTGCTGCATGATAAGAAGCACCTGCAAACTAACTGCGTCCTCGTTCCAAATCCGCC